CCACACGTGGGGCCCCTGTTCCAGAAGTCAGACTTTCGGCCGTTCAGGGGACTAGCGAAACGTTTCGAAGAATACAGTGGTTTCGGCCGTTCCCTGTTCTCCGTTCGTTTCCCCTAAGCTCGCGGTGAGCTAGGGCCTAGCGAGATGAGTACAGTGGGGGTATATCGACAGAGGTCGTTCCCTTCCCCCCTGACTGTTTCAGCTAGCTCGGGGAGCTAGTAAGCTAGAAGAGGACGTTTCGTTGGGTATATTGACAGAGGTCGTTCCCTGCCCATCGACCGTCCTAAGCTATCTCGGTAGTGCGGCGGCAAACGAGATAGCGGCGAGATATTCGTGGGTATATCGGCCGCTGGCCGTTCCCTTCCCTCGACCGCCTCGCCTGGCGTGTAAAGAGAAATTCCGTGGGGTACAACGACCAGCGGTCGTTCCCTTTCCCTCGGCCGTTCTCAACTGCATTTATCTCAGTAGTACAATAGTACGAAAAGACGAGATAGCAGTGAGTCCCCACGCAGGGACATCGCCGTAGTCTGTAACGGTCATCCCGTGTTACGCGTTTTGACCGGCATCAAACATACGTCCTATGGTATGGAACACCGTGAGGATACCGGGGATAAAACTCCCCGTGTAACCATGGCCCCCCAGGCGACCAGCCGTAAGGGTCCCACGGTTAAAAAGGCCGCATCAAAGGCCACCGGCGGTCCCAAGGGTAAGACCCAAAAAGGGACCAATAGTCGCTTGATCACGCCGCCGGTCTCCGGACCATCAGCATCACCTAGCAACCCGGCGTCGATTTCCCGTGGCTTCACGGGAATTTCTTTGCCTCGTCCCCCCGGTCTGCTGGCTCCAGCAACCCTCGGGGACGACCAGTCACGGAGCGGTAAACAGATTCAATCCTCACCGGCCCCGTCTGCGCGTTCATCGCGCTCCGAGCTTCCTGCTTCCACCCGTGCGGAATGGGCAGGACTCGCGGTGACTGACTTGCCTCCTCCCCCAATTCGGGTCACGGACTCGCAGTCAACATCATTCTTTGATCAATGCTCCGGAATTCCCAGGATATTATCGGAGTTTTCATTCAGTGGATCAAGTCACCCAAGTAAGAAAAGGAAACACAAGGCAGCGCCGTCTTCTTCAGGGGATTCCCCCCATAAGTCGACGCATCGGAAAAAGAAAAACAAAGGTGTATCCACGGAAATCTTTCTAAAAGCTTTCCAGGACATCAACGTTTCGCTAGCAGCCCTCACTAAACAACAACAATGGAGATCGGCCCCAACGGTGACTCAGAGGTCACTCCCGGCGGCCACATTTCCGGACCCAAATCCGGGTCTAATCCTGCCGGATCCGGGTGTGATCCAGCCGGATCCGGGTCGAATCCGGGCGCGATCCGGCCGGATCCGGGCTTAATTCAGCCGGATCCGATCGGGCGGGATGAAAGGGGAACACACTGGGCCCCCAGATCCTGGGGTTGCCATCAGTGTCTGCTCAGATAATCCACCTACTCCAGGCCGCGATTGGGCGCCCCCGAGATCACAGGCGGGAATTTCCTTACACCCATCTATGAATTTGGGCACTTCTGTTCAAGATGCTCCTGACATAGATGTCGATGATACTCACTCCCCTTCCACTCACTCACAAGATGAGTGCTCTGGGGATGATGAGGCCACTGACCCTGGCAATTTTTCGCCAATATATGTGGAAATATGTGTTCGCGAAACACCGGTTCCGGCAAACACAGACAAACGATTAGCTCTCGAACAAGAGATCTCATCCCTCATCGAGAAGAGAGCGGTCCGCTTGGTGCCACCAATGGAGCAGTTCACAGGCTTCCTGTCCTCCTTCTTTCTAACACCAAAGAAGACGTCTGGCGAATGGCAGCCGATAATCAATCTGAAACCGCTCAACAAGTTTGTCAAACCCAAACATTTCCGAATGGAGACTCTCCATGTAGTTCTACAGTCATTACCCACACCAGCGTGGGGAGCGTCATTAGACGCGTACCTACACGTCCCCATCTTCCAAGAGCACTCCCGATTCCTTCGTTTTCGGTATCAGGGGCGCACTTACGAGTTCACTGCCCTTCCCTTCGGGTTTTCAACCTCGCCAAGAGTGTTCACCAGGGTTGTGCGGGCAGTTGCATCACGTCTCCGACGAGAAAACATAATGATTTTTATGTATCTCGACGACTGGCTGATAGTGGGAAAATCAGAAGGCCAGACTGCTCAGAATTTGAGCCCGAGCTTGGCTGAAACTTCTAGGGTTCATGGCCAGCTTAGTGGACCTGGTTCCATGGTGCAGACTGAGGATGCGTCCTTTGCAATTGCATCTTCTGGCACATTACAGACCAAAGACGGATCCAATCTCTCTATTGGTCTCGATCGACGATGTCATTCGGCCACACCTTCGGTGGTGGCTAATGGAACAGAACATTCGGTGCGGACGGAGCTTCCCCAGAGGGGGTCCTCACGTCATAATCTCCACCGACGCCTCCAACAAGGGCCGGGGAGCCTCCCTTCCCCCTCGACAAGCTGCAGGCACTTGGGACAACAACACTCGGTCCCTACATATCAATGTTCTAGAACTCCAGGCTGTAGTCAATGCCCTACACCACTTTCAAGCAGACGTAGTGGGTCGGTCTGTTCTAATCAAGACCGACAACACGACAGTGGTAGCATATATCAACAAACAGGGCGGTACAAGATCACCCCAGCTGTGCTACTGGACTTGGAAAATGTTTCAGTGGCTAATCAGACACAAAGTCGATCTACGTGCCATTCACATTCCTGGTGCGGAAAACGACACAGCGGACTCTCTCTCCAGGGGCAGAGCCCATCATCCTCATGCATGGGCCTCGGACGCACTATCAATAGACTGGACAAACATGTTCGCTTATGCCTTCCCCCCGATCTCAATCCTTACAAAGGTCATCGGGAAACTGGAGAGAGACAGGTGCAAGATCCTGCTGATCGCCCCCTTTTGGCCGCGTCAGCCCTGGTTTCCGCGACTGGTGAGGCTCCTAGTGGGCTCCCCTCTAATCCTCCCAGATCGTCACGACCTACTCGTTCAACCTCAGTCCCGGTTCCGACACGACGACGAACACGACGAATCTATGACCGTCGACTACGACATTATAGTAGGTGGTGCGCAGAACAGGCTGTTGATCCACTCTGTGCTTCTTTAAGCCATTGTTCAGAATTCCTACTGTCATTGTTCAGAGCCAATTTGTCAGTAGGAACGATACGAAATTATCGATCAGCCATAGCAGCAGTTCACAAAGGCTTCCCTGATGGCTCATCTATCTCCTCTAATGTTGCAATCACTAACCTACTCCGGGGAATGTTCAACGAGAGACCTACAATCCGGAAACTGGTCCCATCCTGGGATCTAGGTAAGGTCCTGAACATTTTGGCCAAGGCTCCATACGAGCCCTTGGGCCAAGCACCCCTCATTCATGTATCTATAAAGTTGGCCTTCCTGCTCGCAGCGGCTACCGCTAGGCGTAGCAGCGAGATCCATGCGCTGACTTCAGATTCGGGACATATCCGCTGGGAACAAGGTGGGGTTCGCCTGATCCCAAAGGCGTCCTTCCTGACGAAAAATCAGACGGCAAGTTTCAGCCCTCCTGATATTTTCCTCCCAAAAATAGAGTCGACCTCTTCTATCCCCTCAGACAAATTATGGTGCCCGGTGCGCGCCCTAAAATGGTATCTGGCACGCACTAAGTTAGTCAGGGATAAATGCATGCAGCTCTTTATTACAACCATAAAGCCACATGGCCCCGCCTCAAGGGACACCATTGCGCGTTGGGTAGAAGCTGCTATCAAATTCGCTAATGCGGACTGGCCATCCAAAAGGGATGCTTCTGTCCAAGGCCTTGTCCGAGCCCATGACGTACGCGCCGTAGCGGCGTCCTGGGCATTTTTTAGGGGGGTCCCTATTTCAGAGATTTCTCAGAGATTTGTCTGCCACGACATTCACATCCTGCTACCTACGTGACGTACTCCAGACTGGAGGGAACACGGAGAAGACGGTACTGACACAACACCAGTCCTCGTCTACGAACCCTACCCTGCGCAGTAGTCCTTCCCGGCCTGACCAGGAGACTAACTAAGCAGGTAATACATTTCCATGTATATTCAATCTAAATGGTCTAAATCATTAGTATATATATATACTATTGTTTAACCATTTGATTTCAGGGCGTCTCGCCTACCCAGCCACCGGTTGTCGGTGCCACTCTATGCATATGTAGTAGCTATTTGGGTAAGTGAATGAAGTAGACTCCCCCCCCCCCCCCCCCCCCCACAGAAGTGTGGGACGAGTCTACGAGTGATACTTACCCAAATAGCTTCCTGCCCTCCTCCCCACTCTCGGCTCGCGTTACGATGGTTTTTCACCTTTAGTGCGCGAGGGGAAAAAAGAGGAAGCATAATGGCGGATTCATGACGTAGCATAATGGGTAGGCCCCGAGAGGGCGCTCGTTGGTTGATTAAATCTTTTAGCGTTTGAGTCTGTCGGCTGAATAAATATGCATATGTAGTAGCTATTTGGGTAAGTATCACTCGTAGACTCGTCCCACACTTCTGTGGGGGGGGGGGGAATTTGAGCGTGATGTTGACCGATACTTCAGCAGGTCAAACTGCAACGTAGGCAGCCACATTTGCTCATTATTGGCATTTCATACATTAAGTTCACATATGTGCAAATTAAATAAGTGGCTGAAACATATGTTGGAGTTACGGACAAAGGTATCCGTCAGAGTATACATGCTCTGTAGTTTGCCCGGTGTGATGATCGATTTTTAAAGCTTTTGAACTATTTCACAAGAAATCATAACAGTTGTAATGGGTCTTTGCAACTGTGCTGACTCTGCTGACTCTACAGATTGCAATGATATTAGTGTTACAAAGGCCATGTTGGAAAGTAGGAAAGTACAAATGTATTTTATCAGCAGACAGTTGTTATTGAAACCTTGCCTTACACCTTTTCATTTCAATTTATTTCAGATTCTTCATAAAAGTTTCAGAATCTCTGGAAAAAATCAGGGTAAGATGATTTAATTTTCTTAAAGATTGTAGAAATTAAATCCAGAACAGGCCACTTTATTCAGGAATGATGGGCAAGAGCATGATACAATTATTGCATGTAAGCTATTCCTTACAATAAAATGAAATTTCCTTACAATTTAAATGAAAAATACAATATTTGCAAATATCAAAAAAGTCAATTTTCAAATTATCACAAAATACCTTACTGGATTGTCTAAAGCATCCTTTAAAATCGTGGCTCCTGGTGTTTTCAAGAAATATTGTTTATTTCTAACGCTGGTCAACTGGCATTTTTAAAAGAAACTGCTCCTAAATTTGCATATGTAGGTATTCTACATTTTCTTTGCAATTGATTACACACCTGTGAAGGGGTGCAAGCCTGCTAGACTGATTCTCTGACCTTACAATTTTCCAAAGTCTATAAATTGCTCTGTTTCATGTTAAGTGGGGTCAGGGAACCAGACTACAAGACATGATTGGTTTTCTTGGTTTTTCCAGCAGCTTCAAGCCCTAAATGTGATGCAACAAGTCAGTTGAACAATATCTGCTATAACATACTAATCATCAAACTCCATTTATTTCTGAAAATTGCAGCAAAAGCAAAAAATTGCAGCAATGATGCCAAATTGACCAATCAACAGCTTAATCCACATTTCCAATCGAAAGAACTTCACAATTTCTAAAGTTGACTCTGATTGGCTGGAAGGAAATTTGAGTCTTCAGCAAATAAATGAAATTGTCTTTTTATCGGGGGAAAAGGAAATGTTGTTTGCATAAATGAACAATAATGGACCAAGGGTCATTCTTGTGGAGCTCTACATTTGACCATAGCAAGGTCAGATCTAACGTGACAAAAAGAGCAAACCAAGCACTATTTGTAAAGTAACTACCAAAAACTTCTGAAACCACTCGTCTTGCACGCTATACTGATTTAATTTGGAAAGCAGAATATGACTTAGAATATCAAATGAAAGGTCTAGCAAAATACCCAATTGTATATCATATTAAACTACATAAACTTCCATATTGCCGATTACCTCTAAAGATGGATACACTCTGATGAAAGTAATCTGATTCCTTGTTGTCAGTCAGGGTTAGGAGACTCTTACACTCAACTGAACCACCTAACATGATTTAACAAAGATATGTTTTTAAGATATGGATTGTGAAAAAATGACAGGCACTGTTTTTGTAGATTTAATTGAAGCATTTGACTCTGGTAATCATACAACTCTCCTGGATAAACTTGAAAGGTTGACTATGTCAAGCTCTGTAATAGTAAGGGAATAAATGTGTGCTCCGGAGGTTTTTATCACTCGTTTAATACCGCTTAGAGTCTGGGTGCTGATAATTACCCGAGCCGGAGGCGAGGGTAATTATCAGCACCCAGACTCTAAGCGGTATAAAACAGAGTGATAAATACCGACCGAGCACATATTTATTCCCATTCATAAATACCTTATCCGTAAAAAAATATCAAATAATTCGTTCAAAAAATCCCGATTTTGTTCAACAAGTTCACTTCATGCTTTTTGAAACATCCCTCTAGCAAAATAATGGAGTGTTCAGCTGGCGAGTAAGATGTAAACAACCCTTTTATGGAGATTGACGCGCGCGTAACATGTTCTGCGCGATGTCACGCAGAACGCACTTGGGGCGTTGCGTTTTGAATTTAGAACTATAAAATTCTGACTCGCTTGTAGTGTTGCGCATGCCTACGTGAGGATTGTGAACGTTCAACCAATGAAACGGTAAGAGGCACTGGATTTGTAGGAGTCCACATTTTATTGTGACACTGGAAAAGTGTTTAAGACCAGCTAGCCATGTCGTTATCATCCGTTTAAGACCGGCCACGTGACGGGCTCTCGACCAATAGGAATAGCTAAACTGTCTGAGGTATTTATGAATTTGGTTTAAGTCATATCTAAGTGAACGTGGTCAGTCTGTTAATGCCAAACCAAAAAAAACTTTGGTACGGGTCACATGGTTAGAAACAAATTTGGTCGGTCAGTCAGCATGACATTTTTATGCCGCGCCGGCGAAGTCAAAGGGGCATACTGTTTGTGCCTTGTCAGTTCGTGTGTGTACGTTTGTTTATGGTGTAAATCGAGGACACACATGTGCAACATCATCGGTGAATCGAGGACAGGAACCAAATCGAGGACGACCTCGATTAGAAAACGTGTACAAAACCAATGAGAGCTGTTGCAAAAAGGTTTTAAGAGTTGGTCCACGTAAATATATCATATAAGTGTCCTCTGCAATTTTGTTTTATATTTTCATACCAAAGGACTTGGTGAGCAAGTAACCAAAAAACCCTCAAAATTGTTTCTATGGCCCATTTCCATGGTAACAGAGCTCATTTTGTGTTTTAGGCATTTATAGCTTATTTTAAAAAGAAAATGCCCCAGCCAAAATGCAATTACATCACTATATAAACTTTATCATTGCAAAGTATCATACTTGTCCTTACTTGAGAAAAAAAATAAATGTTTTAAATGTCACCCTTATGCTATTTTAAGAACAGGCGTTAAAGCATGTTTTTAGAACTTGCAAAATTGCAATTTTTACCCTATTTTTTGTTCCTCAAAAGTCACCATGCCGGGGGTCTAGGAATATATTTTTTTTTTGATTTGATTGGAGCCAACATTGGTCTTTCAATATCTGGTGAGAAAAGTTTGGTTCATTGAATCCTCTTTAGGCAGCACTGGATCAGCGTGCGCTGTGGGGTACTCGGGCTCGGTCGACTTGGTTTTCCTCGGTGCTCCGTGTGTAAGCACTGGACCGGAACAGACCAGTGTTCGTGCAGGGAAAAAAGTTGCCGTTCCCCCGGTGCTGGGCGCATGGCATGCACCGTGGGGGGCTCGGCGTTCCAGGTGCGAACATTGGACCGGAACAGACCAGAGTTATTGCACTACCTACTTACGGGGCATCATCAACTTCATCATACATTCCATGTTCAGGGATTCCAGTGGTGGACAAATCTTCAGAGATTAAATTTGGTACATCTCAAGCCCACTCGAAGAAAAAGTCTAAGAAATCACGCCGATATAGACACCACTATTTTACGTCGGAGTCCGACGAGGATTCGTCCGAAAGCAAATCGCCACGGCGCAGAAAATATCGACGCCGTGACACGATTCCTCAAGCCGAATTTCTGCAAGCATTTCACTCAATTTCGGCATCATTATCGGTCCTCACGGGAGCGCAGGGACAGGGGCCAGTGCGTGACCAACTCGCCCCCGAAGTCGCCCCCAATATCGCCCCAGCGTCACAGGGTTTGCATCCAGATCTGTTAAATCACAGTGATGGTATGCAAGATGACCCTCCACAAGCATTAAGTCATACAGCTTCAGCTGCACCATGCATCAGCATCAATCCATTGTCAACCTTCTCTGGATCTGATGCCGAGTCATCAGGGAACAAGAGTACAGTGCATGAAGTACAAGGTGTTGCGGGTTCGGACCCATCCATTCAGGGAAATTCCAACTGTTCCCACACCAAATCTTTTGAAGAAGATAATATGGAGATTCAGCACCTTTCTAACTTCGAGACAGAATTACGACTGGTGCAGAGAGACATGATTCGTGTTCTCAAACTTAAAATGTGATGAGACTCCAAACGTCCTGGAATGTAAGTCATTCAAGCAACGTACGTGCCCAGTACGGGAGGAACGAGCCTATTGTTCCTAATCCCCCCGGGCGCCTGCATTCGCTCGGGCCCCGTTCCGATCGCGGGATCACGCCCGAAATTGCCTAACAATAGCACAATGAAATGGTCACGCTGGGTGCCCACAGCACGGTAGTACAATAGACCTGTGCGGTGACGACGGTGGATAATGGCAACTGCTCAAATAATATCCGAAGAAACATCGGCCACACTGAAATTTACAAGGAGACTTTGGAAATGTTGTGATAAAATAATGTTTGTTGTTTTCTCATCTCTTGCAGGCGATGTATAATTGAAGATGGATAGTGATTTAACTTGATAAAATGCTCAACAAATCGAGAAGACGTCTCGGAAATTAGAGTTACATATACATGTTTGATAGTTTTGTGTATTTGAAGGGAAATGTGCAACATTTTACAACAGTGACGTCTGATGGAGTGACTGAAGGAAATATTCCTGAATAAACAATCCCAGCCGATCCAGCCAACCAACCCATGGACTAAATAATGTCCCCGGGCCACCACGTGGTTGATCTCAGGAAAGACGCACTGCTAAACTATGTCACGCACAGCTGGCCACTGGTTATCTACTGTCAGATCAGCGAGGCTGGCTACATTTATATACAATTGTAACAACCGTGAATGTTAGTTGGCATTTATTTTTCGTTGATGTCTCATAACCAAAACCATTTTTCGGTGTGGATATTGAAAAGCATGAGCAGGTATAAACCAATAGCCCCAACAGTAACATAATCAACTACCCAACAAAGAAGTTAATAATACTTCACATTTGTTTGCATTCTTTTGAGCCTTTATTATTGGGCCATCTAAAATATTGTTTCGACGTACATCCCCGTGAAGAAATTGCACCGTCCGACTTTACCTTCCCTGTATCTGAAAAAAAAACTTCTTTAAATGTTCCACAAATTGAAAAGATGTCTCAGAAAGTAGAGTTACACATACATGTTTTATAGTATTTTAATTGAAGGGAAATGTGCTACAATTTACTCCCCGAACGTTGCTGCTTATAAAAAAAGGTAGGTAGTTTATGAGACACTGGCTCACAGTACATGTAATATCGATATTGGACCAAAATAAAAGGGAATACAAAAAAATTAATCTCGAAGAATATTCTCCATTGGGGAACCACCATAGGTTGAAGGAACCTTTTTTTTTTTGAGTATAAATACCTCCTCGCGGCTTCTCTAAATGACTATGTAGGATCTTCTCCTTTCTTTAAAAAAATACATTTCGTGAGTAGTTTTAAGAGATATATACGGGAATAAAGGGAGTGATTCCTTGATTGCAGGGGACGTATTAAGTCGTGAAC